CCGGTCTGGCTATCATTGTGGGTTTAATTCTTTACTTTTGTATGGATTTTGTAAGCTGCCCAAGAGCCTTCTGGAAAAGGCAGCTCTATTAAATCAAATTAAATTATGTATACCAACACCCCCTATGCAGGGGTGCCAGCCCCCCTGCCCCAAAGCCTGGGAGAAGAGCCAGGCTGTTAAGGAGGGCCATTGGAGTGGGAGCTGTCTGGATTCCTTGGGGAGCCTCATTCCAGAAGGCAGCAGCAGAACAGGGGTGCTTCCGGATCCCCCAAATACGGTGTTGTTTAGCCAAAGGGAACCGGAGGGCATCGACCCTGTCAGTTCCAATCCGTAGGGCAGACTCCTAGGGGAGACAGGCGTCCCTCGGTTAACTGGACCCTGCTTCATGCACCAGGCGGTGGAAGAGGGCATATAAAGGTAGCATTAATAATTTGGGGAGGGGGATGTTTCTGACTTTTTGTGCTCAAGGGGGGGGGGATGAGGCACATGAGCCTGGCACTGCATTTCACATCCTGGGGGCTCAGAAATATCATTCAGAGTGAAGCCTGGAGATTGGAAATCAGCCAGCTCCACAAAAGCCCATCCAGTCTGTCAGAATTCCCTGAGGTCTCCTCTAGAGTCAGTGCAAAAGTTCTTCAGAGACCCCCTGAGGGCATGAGGACCCCCTTGACCTCCGTTGCCTTTCCTTGACCAAGAGGGGTTGGAGGGTGGGCATTCCAGGCCTGGCTGCCAGGGGGACCAGCCTTCCTGCTTAGCTACACTGGAGGCCCCCCCCCGCTGCCACCCTACAAATAGGAGATTCGGAGCCAGGCCACCCCCAAGTGGTACCTGGGGGGGAAGAATCTAATTGCCGATACAGCGTGGCAAGCCTGGCATGTCCAGAGGAGGAGGAGGAGGAGGAGGAGGAGGAGGAGGAGGAGCTGGTCCTCCCAGCCCAGAGAAAGCATTTTTTCATTTTGTCCTGCCCCCCCCCCCAGGAAAACAGAGAGGCCATCAGAACTAGGGAGAGGAGGAGAAGAGAAGGGGGCACCCAGGAACGAACAGAGCCCCCATAGCTGATGGCTGCCTCCCTCTTTCATGCAGGGAGGGGGCAGGGGTGGGGGAGGAGATACACGGCCCTTCCCTCCACCCCAGCTTTCCACCCCTCCTCAGTGTCCTCTGGGCCTGCCTGTAGTTCAGGAGAGTTACCTGCTGCTGCCTCACCTGTTTATCCAGGTAGAACTTGGCCTGCTGAGGGGGGTCCTTTATGCCCCGTTCTCCCTCTGTTACGAGCTGTCACTTCCTTTGGACGATCCACCCGCCCCCTCCCCAACCACAGGGGGCGGCCTTTAGTCCTCTTCCCTCTTTGTCCTGGCCACACCCAGCCTCCCTGAAGGGGGGGCTCCCCAGGGACCCCCACACTCTGGGACTGCCTGCCAGAGCAGCTCCCTCTTTTTGCCGGCTGCCCCCTTTGGGGTGCTTTGAGCCATGCTCCCTGCACCTCCCAAAACACCCTTCCCCTCCCCATGGGCCCACCACCAATCACACGCTAAGCAGGCCCCTCTGCCCTCCCCGGCTGAGTGACAGCTGCTCTGCCCCCTCCCTGCTCCTCTTACTCAGCCCTTGCGTAATTCCCAACACCTCTCTGTGGGGGCTGGCCAGGCCGTGGGTTTGGTGGCTCTGCTTGTGCTCCTGCGAGTTGACAGCTCCCACTCGCCAGGGCTGTCCTCCCCCTCCTGGAGGAGTCTGGGGGACTGCGAGAGGGGAGCCACTCTGGGGGCACCTTATCTGATCTTGGGCACAGAAGCCCCTCCCCCCAGGCTGCCTGGTCCCCACCTGCTAAGACCACCCAAAAGGCAGCGGCTGGACCGATGAAGTCCCACGGCTTAATCTGGAGCAAAAAAAAACCCTTCCCCACCAGGTCTCGGAGTGCTTCTTCAAAAGGTGGCACAGGGGGTCTTCATGCCCACTGAGCCCCCAGGCCTGCTGGGTGCATCCCATCCATGTCTGCCTCCACCACCCCCCCAAGAAGGAACAGCTCTGGCCCTGCCTCCCTGGGCTGTCTTGGTCAGTGGGGAGAGGGTGGGACGGCATCTGGGCCAGAACAGCCTCCTTCCTTGGAGGAGAACAACACAAAAACAACACAGTCTGTGCTGTGCGTTGCAATCTGTTGGCCCCAACCTCAGCGCAGAACAGAAGGGCTAATTCGTCATGTACCCACAGAAGCTGGGGGGGGGTTGCAGAGTCTTCTCCAAACGCCTTCCTTCTGCCTTTGACGGGGAAAGAGGGCTGCAGGCCATGGAGGGCCCCCACGGGTGGTCTTGGGGGGGGCTCTGATTTCCTTGGCTAAACTTTTGGAGCTGGGCCCCCAGGGAAGAGGGGGCCCTCCCATTGGGCAGAAGCTTTTGGGGTAGAAACGGCAAGGGGAGAGACGAGGTACCCCCAAACCCCTTGGGGAAAGACCTCGGTCCGGTGTCTGCCAAGCGGCCTGCATGCCCCACTGGGCAGCCTGGCAGCAGCCCCCCCTTACCCAGAGGGAGATTCGGCTGAAGCCAGCAAAGAAGCCCCAAGGGTCAAGGTCACAGCCCAACCCAAGACCTATCTGGCCACTCCAGTCTCTGGTCATTAGGCTCCTGTCCCGTTCAGGCCCTCTGCCAGGTCCCATGGGGTCACAGCAAGTGGGGATACAGACAGTTCTCCCCCCTGCAGAAAACTCTCAGAAACTGCTCCTGCCCAGGGATGGCCCCCTTCAGACGGCCTGTGGGCCTCAGCCGGCTGGTGGACAGCCACCCTTTGACCAGGGACTCTGGGGCCGTTCTGCTACTTCCTGGGCGGAAGTTTGAATCCCAGAGCCCAGCAGAGGCAAAAGCAGGAGGGCTTCTGAGACAAAATGCCCTTTGAAAGGGCTCCCTCTTTCCTGATGCTGCTAAATGCTGGTGCCCTTTACATGGCGGGTGGCCTGGCCCACCACACACAGGCCACGGTCGGTCAGGGCATCTAGCCGTCCAAGGGGCCGGCTGGCCCTGGTGGGAGGGGATTCGGGCTACTTAGGCCTGCCCAGCGCTGCTCTCCCTGCTCCCCAAAGCAGCTGGAGGATGAAGCATTGCAGAACCCCCTCCCTTGCTCATTCCCACCCCAAGGGGTGAGGAGATCAAGGGAGCACTCCTGAGACCAGCTGAAGGAATCCTGGCTGCATTCTCACATGTCTCACTTCCTGAAAGGATCTGACTTGGGTGTAAATGCATTTCGGGGGTCTCTGCATATGTGAATCCAGAGCAGAGAAAATGAGCCAAGCAAAGCCCCCCCCCAAAGCAGCCACTGGGGTGGGTCTGAGCTGGCTGGGGGTGGTCCTGTGAATGCAGCCATGGGCTGCCATAGGAATGCCCTCTTCCTGCTTTTTCCCATTTAGATGGAGCGTGGGGAGGGGCTCGCTGGGTCATTGACCTCCCTCCGTTCCAGGGCGAGATGTGGTGTCCCTTGTCAGGCTCAGCCCAGTTCAGGGTGGGTGGTGGTGGCTGGGGGGAAGACTTCCCCAAGCAGGAAGGATTGGGGTGCCATATTTGGGGGAGCAGCCTTGGTGTAACTCCTTGTGTGTGCCTCCCAGGTTTGAATGCCCTTCCCAGTCCAGGGCCCCCCAGTTCCCCCTGAAGGTTGCAGGGCTGGGGATGAGGGGTGCAAAGATGGGAGGAAGGGGGGAGGGCCTTCCGGTGAGGGAGGGAGGAGAGTGGCGCTTGCAGCTGCCCCAACTGCCCTCCGCAGGAGCCAGCTGGCAAGTCACCCATAAACCGGGTCTGCCCACAGCGGCTAGAGAAGGAGGAGCAGGTGTTGTGTAGAATCTCCTGTGTTGGTCTTTCTGCCCCAGACAGCCGGACACTTGAGATGATGCCTGCAGGCCAGAAGTGATTGGGGTGGGGAGAGAGAAAGCCTGGTGCTTCTCTCCAATCAGCCAAGGCCCCAATCCAAAACAAAGCAACTTTGGTCAGCTGGAGCGAGGATCCTACATCCCACGAATTTGGGGGGGGGGGGCTTGACTCTTTAGGACCCCATCGCAAGACACCCAGGGTTGCTGCCAGAGGCACGGTTGACTTCCAACAGCACTCCCTCCGCAGCGAAGGCCAGACGTCGGGGGTCTCTGGGCGCTCCATCCTACCCTTCCAGTAATGGGGCGCCCTCCTGGCCCTGACCCCTCTCTGGCGGCGCGGGAAGCGGCCGCCTGACAGCGGCAGCGAAAGGTGCGGCGGAGGGAGCGGTCCGACGGCTCAGGTTGGTTTCCATAGCGATAAGAAGGGAGAGGGTCTCGCCGCCGCGTTGCCATGCCGACCGTGGCTGTCAATCAAAGCTTTCGCCTCGCCGTTCTCGTCCCGCACCCGGCCCAATTTTCTCCAGGGGGAAGGCCAGGAACCCCTCGCGCCCCCGTTCCTAGGCAGCTCGCGCGTCCCACGGGAGGAGCGCGCGTGGACGGCGGTCCCTGGCAGGGAGCCGGATCGACCTCGCCGCCGCCGCCCCCCGGACCCCGGGCCCCAGCCCCCCGCTGCGCAGCCCCGGCGCGGCGTCCGGTGTGGGAGCCCCGCCAAGCCCGCTCCTGCGCCTGGCGCGGCCGGCGGGAGCTGCGGGGAGTGGCGCCGCGCGCGCTCCGAAAGACTTTCATAAATTTTCGATGGGCAGCAGGGAAGGCGGGCGGGGAGGCGGAGGCGAAGCGGCGGCGGCGGCGGCGGAGGAGGAGCGCTGCTGTTGCGAGGGAGGGGAGGCCGAGCGCAGCCCAGCCCTGCCCAGCCCTGCCCTGCCCAGCCGCCGCCGTTGCTGCTGCTGCTGCTGCTGCGGAGAGAGGCGAGGCGGGGCGCGGGCCGGGGGCGCGGGAAGACGCCCTCCGCCAAGGGGGCAGCGAGGAGGCAGCGGCGGCCGCCCGGGAGGCGGATTCCCCCCTAAAAGCGCCGCCGAGCGAGCCCGGCGGCGAGCAGCGAGGCGCGTCGCGAAGTGGAGCCGGGGAGCCGCCGCGGCCAGCGGCAGGGAAGCTGCGGCCGCCGGCGCCGGCCGAGAAATGCCGCTACCCGGAGCGCCGCCGAACCGCGGGCGGAGTAGCAGCAGTCCCCGCCGCCGCCGCCGCCGCCCCCTGCTCTGAGCGCTGATCCGGGACCGGCCGCGGCGCCTCCGCGCCTCCAAGATGCGCGGCCGCGCAGGTGAGTCCGCGAGCCGCGTCCGGGGAGGGCGCCGGACTTCCCGCAGCCGCCGAACTTCGCGAGGGGCTGCCGGCGGGGGGGAAGCGGGCGAGACCGGCCCGGGAAACTTTCTGGGCCTGGCGAGTGGGGGGCCTACCGAGCACAGCTGGCTCCGCGGCCTCCGTTTTCCTCGCGTCTTCCGCCGCCCTGGTCCGCGCCAGCGCCGGCCGAGGGAAGAAGGCCCCCGCCTGACTCCTCCCGGACCCCGGAAAGCAGCGGGGCCGGTGATGTAATTCCCGGAGGGTCGGGCGGAGCAGCGCCTCCCGCGAGGGGCCGGGGCAAAACTGCCGTGGCTCCCGAGGGGGGCGGCCGGTCCACCCTTGACGGTCCGGAGCGCGGAGCAAGAACTGCCTCCGGGCGGCTGGCGCTGAGTTGGGCTGGTGCTGCAGGGCGGAGGGGGGGGGCTGGCAGAGTCGATTCCTCCTCCCGCGAACTTCCTCCAGGTCGGGCCCGTTGCTGCTCCCCGGGGGCCCGGAGCTGGGCAGCTGTGCCGGATGCCCCTGGGAGGCCGGAGCTGCGCATCGCCCAGAAGGGCTTCGTAGCAAGTTTGTCCAGCGGGACTGGGCTGAGGGCGACGCCCCCTCGCGATCTCGGCAGCCCACAGATCGGCTCCTCGGGGCTCGGGGGTTCTAGGGTGCGAGGCGTGGGGGGGCTGTTGGGGCGGGCGGGCGAGGGGTGTTCTGGCGCTTGTGACTCCCCAATCGTCTGCCCGGGGGGGGGGGGAAACGGGGCCGGCATGTCTGTGCGCGAGCGCAACGACCCTTTGCGCGTCTGAGGAAGAGGCGGCGGAGATTCGCGCAGGGCAGTTCGGCGTGCGGGCGTGGGTGACTGAAAGGGGGCCCCGGGGGTCGTGGAGGGCGGGTGCTCTGCTCCGGTTGCCTCGGCTTTTCTCCTCGAAACAACCGGCCGGGGGGAGGGGTCTCGTCGAGCAGCCCTCTTCGGTCGCTCGGAGCTTCGACCGGACGAAGCAGCAGCCTGACGGGTTGGAGGCAAGCGAGGCCGAGGGCGCGGAGGGGCGAAGGTTCTGGCCACCCCCTTCCCCTCAGGGAGTGACCCCCCCCGGGCGTGGGCAGAAGGGCGGTGAGAGGCGAGCCAGGCGGGACGGCCCGTCGCTCGGCCGGGGCCGCCTTCAGGAGCCGCCTGAAAGGCTCTTCGGAAAGTCTTGGGGCTGCCCGGCTGCCCTGCCGGCTCCAGCGGGCCTCGGAGAACTTGAGCTGAGCGACAGAAACAAGACGAATGACAGGAGTACAAATAATGCTGCTCGCGGCTTCCAGCGAGCCCCTCCCTCACCCCTCACCCCCCCCCCGTGACCGATCCAGGCTGGCCCAATCCCTGGACAGATGTGCCAGAAAGGGGGTGAGAAAGGGGGGGCATCGAATCGGTGGCTCAAAGACAACCGCCCCTCCCCCCCCCGCCCGGAAGCCAGGGCTGTTTCGGCCCAGGAAATCCAGAGGGGCCCCGTCGCTGCCCAACGGGTGGCACCAAAAAGTTTGAGGGCTGGCCAGGAGAAGGTGCCCCGCAGGCAGCTCGGTCTAGGAGGAGGCCTCTATGTGGGCTTGCCTAGCGATCCTGGGCAAATGCACCGAGGTGGATCTGGCTGTCAGAGGCTGCTAGGCTGGAGGGCTCTTCCTCCCCCTCCCCCGCCAGGCAGCAGCAGACCCAGGTCCCAGCTGCTGGGGCAGAGGGGTGGGTTGGGGCCTCCCACTGGGGACTTCCTGGTGGTGCCTGGGTGGCCTTGGTGGAGGGCAGAAGGCTGGACTCAAGGGGTCTTTGGCCTGGCAACCTCAGGGCTATTTCCTCCCCCCCCCCAACCCCTTCCCCTCTGGGCCTGTTATGGGGTGAGGCATGAGGAGTGGGCACCGGAGTCCAACCTATTTCAATGGCAGCACATGGGAGGGGGGGAACTGCAGGAGAAGAAATTCCTGAAGCTGAAACACAGCGAGGAAAAAGCTTCTCTGCAGACAAAGCCACACAGATCACAAGCCTGGAGCTTTGTGGGAGGGAAAAGGGTTGGTTAGGGGTTAAATATTTAGATGAGGAAGCAGAAGCACCATAGTATAAGACCCAAGGGTTGGGGAAAAGAATCAGCAGCTGCCATTGAGCAGGTCTTGGCTGCCTGGACCCTGTGATGGGAGCCGGAGGGCAGCCTCAGGGGCCGAGCACCCCCCCACTCTGTGGATCCCTCAAGATCCGGCTTCTGGACGGCCAAGCAACATCCCCTCTGCTCTGCTCCCCCAGCGCTGGGCCAGGGGCAAAAGAGCAGCCTAAGGAAAGGCCTTCAAGGCTGGGAGGCTTGTGGGGGGCTCAGATCCGGGGTTCTCCTGTTGAGGCTGGGGCAGTCAAGCCCCTGTAGGGCAACGGGGGGGGGCTTGTCCCATCTGTAAAGTGGGAGCCTCAGTGGGAGGCATAATGCTGTCCATGCAGCGAGGGAGGCGGGAAAGGAAGGCATGGTGGACACAGCATAGCTGGAGAGTGGACACTTTCCCGTGCTGGACACGCCTGGGCAAGGTCTTCAGGCTGGGGCTGGTCCTTTAAGATGGTGGGAGGGAAGGAGCGATCCTCCCCCCCCCTTCATACTTAGGGCTATGCTTCTGGGGGGATGATGGGGGGATTGCCCCCTTCAGTCTAATTCTGCTCCTTGTTCAAATGGTCTGGACTCTGGAGGACAATGTCACGGCCAAAAGTGGGGGGGGGAGGTTGGAATGGCCAAAAGGCACCCAGGCTCTGGGGGTGCAGGGGATCCTGGCATCAGCTGAAAATTGTCTGCCAAAAGTGGTGGTGGATGGTATCACCTCGATGGGAGAAGCAGTAATGCCTGAAGGCTAGATTGGGGGGGGGGAAGGAAGGGCACCCTACTGGCCCAGGCCGGCCTCCCCCTGGGCAGTGCCTGAAGGGCTGGGCCTTTGAGAAGGACTGGGGGCTCCTGCTTCCCACAGCCCCTGAGGGCCAGCGGCGGGGGGGGGAGGGCAGAGAGGGCTCCTGGACGAAGAAGCTTTCCCCTCCCCCCTCAAACGCACAGCCCAGCCGGCTCCGTCAAAAGGGGGTCTGCTCTCAGGGGGGATCAAAGGGGGGTCCGTTCTCGGGTGGGCGGCGCGAGGCCACCCCCACCCCCGCTGCGCGTTACTTTTGGACATGGGGCTTTTATCTCGGGCTTGGCCCCCTTTGAGCTGGATTTCAATCGGGCCCCTGTGCAACCCTCGCTATTTGTCGATTTCAGTCCGGATCCAAGGTTCGGGTGCCCGAGTCGAGAGGCGAAACGGGTCATCCCGTTAACCCAGATGAACCTCCCGGGGCAGCAGCCAGGCGCCCCTTCCGTCCGCGGCGCCCGCGAGGGGCGGCTGTGCTGAGGCGCCGCTTGGGGGGCGCTGCTTCCGAGCGGTCTCGCCGCGGTGAGGAGCGGGCGGGGCGGCGGCGGCGCTCCCGGAGAGGAAAGGTGGTTCAAGGTCAAAGTTGCTCCGCTCCCGCCGGACAGGAGGAGAGCCTCTTCGCCGCCCGCCCGGCCTTCTCCGCGGGGCTGTCTTTCTCGGCGGCCTGCCCGATGCGGGTGAGGGCGCTTCTTGGGGTCGGAACCCGCCAGGGCTGCCCGGCTTGTCCCGTTCCGGGACTCGGGCCTCCCTCCGCGGAAAGGCGCCCCAAAGCAGGGCCGGAGGCGGCGGCCGGGAGGGAGGCAGGGAGGCCTCAGCTCGGCTGAGGAAGCCCCGGCTCTACTGCCCGGTGGCCAGCGGACGACGGGCAGGAAGCGCTCTGCGCGTGCCCCGGGGCACCTTTGATTCCGCCGGGGCTGGTCGTGGGCCAGTTCCCCAGGCTGAGGTCGGCGGTAGCGCCCGTCCTTTGCTGAGAGGCTGAGCCGGCTGAAGCGTCCGCGTCTCCCTGGGGCTGGAAGGGGGGAAGGGTCGGGGCCTGCCCTGGAAGGGGGGGGGAGGAGAAGCGCTCGAGACCCCCGCGCACCAACGTCCGGCAGCCTCCCCTGAGCAGCCCCGGAGCCTTCGGGGGCGGGGGAGTCTTCCCCTGGGGGAAGCTGAAAGGGCCGATTCGAAGCTGGACGGAGGGGGGCTGGACGGCGGGGTGCAAAGAGGAGGGAGAGAACGTGGGAAGGAGCAAGCGGGGTTGGGGGGGGGGGAAGGCGCCGGACCGGCGGGCTGGAGCAGCCGAAGATGCCGTTCAAAACCGGGCTGGACAGCCTGGCCTCTTCCCCAGGTGGAAGGAGAAGGGCTTAAAAGGGGGGGAGCGGCCCCGTGGGAACCAGGCTGGCTAGAGCGGAAGAGGAAGCAGGCCCGGAGGGGCCAGGAGGGGCAGCCAAGGCCACTGGGGGGGGGGGCGGTGCAGGGAAGAGAAGGGAAAGGCAGCTGGCAGGGCGGAGGCTGGAGGGAGAGAAGGGACAATGGTCAGGCGGCCTGGAGTGGATGCTGTTACCCGAAATAGCTTTTTCTAACATCTATATTTTATTGTGTTTTTAATCCAGGGGAAATGTTAATATATTGCAAGTCCATGTATGATATGCCACACGCTGCCTACATAACCAGTTGGAGGGAGAGAAAGTGGGCCCCACAAGCTGGTTTCCCATCCAAGCCATGTGCAAAAGAGGGGCAAAGAGCAGGGCCCCCCCATGCTCCCGCTGTCCCCCTGCCAGGAGAGGCTTCCCTTCTTCCCTGCGGAGCTCTAGGGCCGCCCCCCCCACGGAGAAGCCTCCGCCCTTGTTTTCTGTGCAGCTCTGCGGAGCAACAAGGCCTGCGGATTCCCCAGGAGGCCAGGCTCCCTCTCGGCCAGAGCAGCCGGGGCCCCTGGAGGCTGCGTGCCGGAGGGTGTGTCTCAGGCAGAGATGCCTCTTCCTTCCCTCCCCCTCCATGGTCAGGCAAAGCCATCCTGCAGTGCTCTCCCCCCCCCCCCGCCGCCTTTTTCCTTTTCTCCTCCTGCTTTCTGCCACTCAAGCAGGGCCCCAAAGAAGAGGGGGTCAGTTTATT